ATCAGCCCTGTGTGCGCATGTGCAAGCGAGGCTGCGCATGCGCCCCCGGGTTTGTTCGTGACCTGAAGCGAGGAGGGCAGTGCGTGGAGAAGTTCGCCTGTCAGCCGCCCACTGCTGAAATCGTCGAAATCGAAACCGCTTTCGCCGACCCCGAGCCAAAGTGCGCCGCCAATGAGGTCTTCCTCACCTGTGGCACCGCCTGCCCGGCCACCTGTCCCTTCCGTGACACCAAGACTGGCCTCCTCAATGACGGCGTCCCCAAGGCCTGCGTTCACATGTGCAAGATCGGCTGCGCATGCGCCCACGGCTTTGTCCGCGATCTGAAGCGCAACAACCAGTGCGTCGAGAAAAGCCTCTGCTCGTCGCCCTAGATCTGCTTTTTTCTAGATCTTTGTATTTTTGTTATTTACCCCTTTTTTCAGATACTTTATCATTTGGCCAAAATAAAGTTTTAAACTTGTAAAAATTAATCTTAAGTTTGTTTTTTTATTACAAAAAAAGGTTTAATCTTGAAACTGGCAAGGGACAGCAAATGTTCAAGGCCCACAGTGTCGCTGATCACGGATTTCGGTGCGTGATCTGTAGCAGTGTGTCACACAGTACTACTAGCACTGTTCATCACAGTGTAAATCTGATTGCCCTTTTCCTCTCTGCATTTTATTCAATGTCAATTTGGAGTTGGTAGATTTGCTGATTAAAACGAAACTAATGAACAAATTAAATGCAGCAAAAATGCTATAAATGCAGTGACATTTGTTCGGTGTTTGCATTGTACAACAATACAACAACACATGCAACCAACACACACAAACTCTGCTTCTTCAATTGATCAAAAATAGTTTTAGTCTTCAAACACACACTTCTGAAAAGACAGCTGTTATTTACCAAACTGCTGCTGTCGCCGTCGCAAATCGATCACCTGACATTGACATGCTCTTCTGCCTTTTGTGGGCTATTTTCAGCAGTAGTAGAAGAAACAGGTGTTAATTTAATTTAATCTGCTAACTTTTTACATTACAATGAATATGCAGTACAACAGCAGAAAACAAAATGCCTGCAGTACAAAAGTCCGAGCTGTGCTGAACGAGTTTATCAGTTCTATTCTACACATTATTCATCCTCATTTTCACCTCAAAATGTGGCACACAAATTGTTTTTCAATTTTACTTGCTTTGATGATGATGATCACCACTTTTCAGTCAGCCACTGCTCAAAACATCACCAGAAACAACAACAACAACGGCACTCAAATCATTACCCAAAAAGAATCCTTTCCTTCCTGTCCTGAAAACGAAGAATGGGCGGAGTGCGGCACACACTGCCCACCCCACTGCCCCGCCTACAATTCCCAAAGTGGTCAGGTGGATGATGACGGCAGCTCCGCCCCCTGCATCCT